CATCTATGTTTTGGTGTTGCAGTTGTGGCCCAGATGCCGGAACCAATTCTAGAACTCAAGCAATGGGTCAAAGGCCTAGTGTCACATAGAGTCGATTCCGAGCGTGCCTGGATGGAGTTGTTGAAGGGCCAATGGGAGGCCCGCAATCATGGTAAGTCTCTTTCTTAGAACGGTTACCGTTTGGATTTTTTCTCGAGCTAACTCATATTTTATCCTTTGTAGGCCTCGGGAAAGACGTAGCAATGAGGCACCCATTTGCTGAAGAAAAAGTAGTTCCCTCACCACCTGCTCCGAAGCAGGCCAAGGAGAAGAAAAGAAAAGGGGCTCCGAGTCCCCCGGGCCGGAAAAGAAAAGACCTGCAAGGAGGTCTCGTAAGCCCAAGGAAGATACCAGTGCCATGCTTTCGGACTTGATCCGCCGATTAAGGGATGAGTCCGAAGAGGAGGAGGAGGATAACAGTTCCAAACTGGTGACCCGCGTGCGGGCTGGTGTCACCACACAAAAGCCCTCCGAACCGGAGGAGGTTGATAAGGGAGCCTCGTCTGAAGTTCCTGAACTAGAAGGAGTCGAAGCTGCTCCGTCCCAAGCCGAGATGGTCGAGGGAGAAAATGGGGGCGAGGCTTCCCGAGTAGCTGAAGATGTACCGAGGGACAATCTTGGAGTGATTGATATCTCCGAGTCCCCTGAATTTTCAGATGCCACGATCTGTGAGGCCGCTAACTTGGAAGGTCGCTCTTGCGAGGGTCCTCAGGGGGAGATTGACATCCACGGCTTCCTGGATGGGGTAGAGTTCGAAGCTTTGGGAGATGTCACCAGTCTTGGTGACTTATCAGTGCCGAAGAAAGTACTGTCACCGGATGCCGCTGGGTCTTCATCGAGCCCAAAACTAGTGGACTGATTTTCGGCCCCCAGTGCTAACCCCGATCGTAGGCATAACATTGTGCTTTATGTCCCGGAAGATGCACGGGTCTTTTCTCCCCTGGTGGGGATCGCTAGCTACCTCAGATGATTGGTGACCGAGGAAGACCAAGTAGTGATAAATGCGGTGGGAGCCACTTGCCGGTTCAACGATGCCCAACACGCTCTGAATTGGGTAAATTTGAGGGCCATCCCATTATCTCTTTTAAACTTTGAGTTGTAGGTAATTCTAACATTTTCTTTCTTACTTGTAGGTTTCGGTGTTGCATCACGAGGCTTTCCTTCGAATCCGGGAGGAGCGCAAGGCTGAGGTTCGGGACCTTACTGAGAAAAGTGACACTTACAAGGAGCATGGTGGATCATGCGAAATGGCAAGCTCGAAGGGAAGCCCTCGAGGAGGTTCAGGCTCAAGGTTTCAATATTATGGCCAAAATCGAGAATGCCAAAGTAGAGGAAGCCAGAGCCCCGAAGTTGGCCTTTCTCGAGGAAGAGTCTAAGAGCTTGAGTGAATCCGAAGATGGGGAAGATCCAGAGGGTGGAGATGCCGCCTCCGATGAAGACCGGGCTGCTTAGGCCTTCATATTTTTTCTTTGTTTTGTATCTTTTTTAGGCCGTTTTGGCCATTGTAAGTTCTTGTATTCGGCCGATCTGGCCTTTTTAAAAAGATTGTTTAAATATATACAAGGCTTTCTATCCCTTTCGGCTTCTTAATTTTTCTTTTGTTTCATTGCTTGTGTTGACAAAGGTCGGGGTGCCTTTGCACAAAACAACTTAAGTTTTGTATGTTTGAACAAACCCTGCCTTCACACTATTTAGTTTTGAGGCGTTTTGGGTTCGGTGTTACCGGGAACTTTCTCCCAAAATAAGTAATTCAATTTGCCGAGGGTTAGCCTTTATAATCGGTTACGAAAATTTCGAAGGCCTATTTTTGTTACGGTTCTCGGACGTCCCCGAGCCGCGTTAATATGGTTGTGGCCTTTTAATTTCGGATGTGGCCCAGTGGGCTTGGTTCCCTGAGTTATCCAGGCTTGCCTAAGATAACAGTCCCCGAGTGGGTATGGCCTTGGCCTTTAAAATTCAGGGGTTTCCTAATAGGTCTTGCATCCCCGATGTTTTAATAACTCGATCTATTCGAGTTCGTTTTCGGACGGCAGTCCCCGAGTGAGGGAGTGACCATCCGAACTTTGGTTATAATCGGTCCTTGAGCTCGTTTCTCTTAGAGGTCGAAAGTACGGAACTGTAAAATGGAAATTTTTCTAAGACATAAATAGTTGCAAGGAAAGTACTTCTCTTTATTCTTGTCAAAATATTCATACATGCGTACATGTTTTATGCCAGGGCTCGAACAATCTACGTGGGTACGGTTCGTTCGACCGTTTGGCCCTTACAACAAATCCTACTTATTGAGACCCTTCCATTACGAAATAATTTCCTTGCTAAAGCAATTCGATATCCGAGGGTAATCCCCCCAGTATTCAAGGTTGATTGTAGAGAGACCTTGGATACTGTAAACACAATCTTCGATATCGATTCGTGATCCATTGTTGCCTCGTTAAAAACCTTGTCGGAAAGCCTATTTGGGACAAAAGCGGTCTAAGGGAAAAAGAGTGCAACGCGTGCTTTCAGACCTAAAGACTTGTGCGGATATTAATAAATAGAAGTAATAAGTTACTCAAAAACCCAGCTGAAGAGAGAGAAGCTCTGGAGAAAATTTGGGCAATCACATGCGATCTTCTTCTCTGCCGCTGCCATGGCCAATATGGCTGACGGCCAGCCATCTTTGCCGGCTGGTCAGCCTTCTCCCTCCATCGCCCCAACAAATACGACCACAAACTCCAATCCCCAGCCTTTAGATTTCTCAAAAATCTTGAAACCTTCCAAGATGAACACTGCCATGCATGAACGAGCGAGTTCTGTCGAACCAATTCCATTGCGTCGTGCTAGTGTACTTAATGGACAACCTATCGTTAAATTTACTGAAGTAGAGGTTGAGCGAATGAATGTGATTGAAGGTTTGCAATATGCAGTAGTTTCCAAATTTTCATATGGATGGCCTGAGCTTAATGAATTACGTCGAATTGTCCCTCTACAATGTGGAATTAAAGGTGAGTGTAACATTGGATATCCTCGTGACAAACATGTAGTAATAAGATTGACACTATGGCAAGAGTTTTTTGATTTTACGTCTAAAAGAGTGTATTATGTTAAGGATAAGGCAGGGTATGAATATCAGTTGAGGATGTTGATTTATGATGCAAAATTTAAGATCGGTGAGGAAACACCAAAGGTAATAGCGTGGATTTCGTTTCCAAATTTGTTACCAACTTTTTTTGTCAAGAAGTTTCTATTTTTGTTAGCTTCAGCTGTGGGTAAGCTTCTTCATCTTGACATGGCTACAATTAATAAAACGAGGCTTAGCTGTGCGAGAGTGAAAGTTCTTGTTGATCTTCTAGTTGACTTACCTAAGAAGGTGCGTATGGACATAAGAATGAGGCAACTGGAGTCGTGAGAACTGAATGGGTGACCATTAAATATGACTATTTGCCAAAATACTGTAAAGAATGTAAATTGCAGGGCCATGATTGTTAGAGGCTTCATCCAGAATTAATGGACAATAAATCTGCTGAGCAACAGGCTGGTAATAAGGCTGAGAAACAGGTTGATCTGGTAATGTAATAGAAAATTTGAATTAACATGGACCTTTAATGATTCTGTCGAGTGGGAAAGTTGTAGGCAATGTGGCTGGTAATGGCAAGGAACAATGGAAAGAAATTAGGGATAACCGTGTTAGGAATGTTGTTAATCATAAGGAAACTCATACAACTACTGGAAAAGAAATAGTTCCATTTAATCAAGTTGAAGGGCAGCAGGTGCAAGTGGGAAATAAATTTGCAATATTGGAAGTTGAGGAAGTTGGGATGAGGATGCTAATGTGGTGCAGAAGCAGATTCAAGCTGATAATAATGCTGTTGAAGATAAGATGAATAAAAATAATCAGTTGGTGGTGATTGATAAAAGCAATGAGCAAAGAAGCCCAACTCCTAATCCTAAAACAACTGGGAGTTTGAATCCTGCTGCAACAGTGTTTAAACCTTCTTCAGCTGGGAATCCAAAATTGATAAAATGGAATAATGTTAATCCTAATGGGAGTGGGATTGCAGTAGATAAAGGTGTACAACTTGAATCAATTGCTCAATGGGTAACTAGAACTTTTGGTGGCAACTTAGTACCTACAAATCAGTCTTGTCAGGAAATACCTTCCCAGTCAATTGATACAAATGTAGCAGATACTTTATCGAGAGATGATAATAGACTACAATTGAGTGGAAGTAAATTATGGTGTGATCAGACTAAAGAAGGCTCAGAAGATGGTGAACTTCTTGAGGGAGTCATTGGGGAGGATGAATCAACAGATGAAGAGAAGGAAGATGAGGAACAAACAGTGAATGGTAAGGGGAACAAGGAGGAGCTGAAATCAAAGGAGATATCTGATAAAACAAATGAGCAAGAGCAGGTGGATGGTGTAGTGCAGCATAATGAAGAACATGAGGGAATTGGAGCAAAGGAGAAAGATCAAAATAGTACTACTGCTGGAATGTCAGTGAGCAAAATGATCAACTGATGGTAACATAACCTGCTGGTAAAGTAGGAATGGAAAAACCTACTATGCTGGAACCAGGAGGAAAACATCAGGATATTGCAGTGAAGATTGGGGTCCCTAATCCTACCAAAAATTAGTTGATGACTCAGCAAGATGATAAGGGTGATGAACAACAAATTGGAGGTAGGGGTAGAGATCTTGATGTAGAATCAATTACTTAAAATTTCACCAACGTGGCAAGACAAGGTGATCTTTCACCTAGATACATGGATAAAGGAAAGTCAGCAAGCAGAGGGAAAAGAAACAAACAAAGGAGATTTCTAGCCTTCCTCCAGCTGGGGTTCAAACTAGAAAAACTATATCTAAATCCCATAATTAGATGAATGCTTTAATATGGAATATTAGATCAGTTAACATAATGAAAACCTTTGAAAGGCTTGCCAACATGCATAGGCAGCTACATTACTAATTCATAGGATCGATGGAGCCAAAGCAAAAAACGGAAAAACTGGTAAAATACAGGAGAAAACTGGGCATTCTTCAGGCGTTTGGTAATGTTTCTAACAAAATTTTGGAATTTGTAGATGAAGATCATGAGGTGGAAGTCATTATAGATATGGAACAACATATGACATTGAAGCTGACCAACATTGAAACATACAAGTCTATGATTGTCACGTAGTGTATGCAAAAGGTGATGCAATAGAACGTATAGAACTCTGGGATTCATTGTATAATTTGGCAAGAGATTTGACCTCTCCATGGCTAGTAGGGGGAGATTTCAATGTGATTTGGGATAAAGAGGAAAAGTTTTGTGGTTTGCCTGTCTCGCTTAATGAAATCAATGACTTTAGGCACTGTATCACCACATGCAACTTGTTTGATCTTGGTTTTAAAGGAAGTATCTATACTTGGTGGAATGGGAGGGCGGAAGATGACTGTATTTTTAAGAGACTAGATAGATATTTGGCTAATATTGAGTTCCAACAGATGTGGCCTGCCCTTAAGATCACTCACCTGCCCAAAATAGGATCTGATCATTGTCCTATATTAATCACTGGTGATCCATCAGTTGTTCCTATCAAAAAAACGTTCAGATTCCTTCATTTCTGGATCAAACATCCATCCTTCCATGATGTTGTGAGACAGAACCGGACAGTTGATCTTGCTGCAAATCCGTTCATATTGTTTAATCACAAGTTGAAGAAGGTGTTATCAATATGGAGCAAAACAACTTATGGGGATATATTTCAGAAGATAGCAGGCTTGGAAGAAGTGGTTCTTGTCCATGAATCCCAATCTGAATTAAATCCTACAAGGCAGAATCGCGAGAGATTACACAAAGTTCAAGCAGAATTGATAAGGTATTTAGCTTTGGAGGAGGAATTTTGGAAACAAAAATCTAGAATATAGTTCCAGGATGGGGATAGGAACAAAATATTTTTCCATGCACAAGTGAATGGGAGAAGAAGAAGATTACAGCTTAGAAGGATTCAAGATAGTAATGGAATTTGGTTGGAAAACATAGAAGCAATGGCTGATGAGGCTATCAAATTTTTCAGTGCATAGTTCCATGAAGACAAGGTTCCCACGGATTTTAGGATCATTGATCATATTCCTCTTTTGATCAATGAGGAAAAGAACCAAGAATTTCTACAGCAACCCACGAAAGAAGAGGTGAAACGAGCAGTGTTTGGATTAAATGGAGAAAGTACAGGAGGCTCAGATGGATTTTCTGGCAGCTTCTTTCACTCTTGTTGGGATATTATGGGAGACGATATCTATAACATGATGACGCCCTTATTTAATGGACACGAATTACCTAAATTTGTGACTCATACAAACTTGGTATTATTGCCAAAAAGAAGGAAGTGAATACCTTTTCTGACATGAGACCAACGAGTCTTAGCAACTTTGTCAACAAAGTAATCTCTAGAGTTATTCATCAAAGGTTAGTTGGGTATCTTACTAATCTTATTTCTGATGAACAAGCAGGGTTTGTTAAAGGGAGGAGCATTGTTGAGAATGTATTGTTAACACAAGAGATAATCACCGACATTAGACTGAGAACGAAGGCAGGGCCCAATGTAGTAATCAAACTTGATATGATGAAGGCCTATGATTGTTTATCTTGGTTGTTCTTAGCTAAGGTATTGAGAAAAATGGGGTTTCATGAGAGATTCATTGGGTTAATTTATGGTATATTGTCAATTAATTGGTACTTTGTGTTGATAAATGGGCAACCTCATGGTTTTTTCAAATCAACGAGAGGGGTGAAACAAGGGGATCCTTTATCTCCAACGCTATTTATCTTGGCAGCGGAGGCTTTGTCTAGAGGTTTAAATTCACTTCATATGAATTTATACTTCTGTGGATTTGGTTTGCCTAAATGGAGTCCTAAGATAAATCATCTAGCATATGCAGACGACACAATCATATTTTCATCCTCAGATGAAATCTCTCTTCGATTGGTACTGGAGGTATTGACAGCATATGAAGCAGCATCGGGTCAGTTGGTTAATAAAACAAAGTCTGCCGTCTACATGCATCATTCAACGAATGCACAGGTGGTGAACATAAGTAGAAAGGATAACAGTTATTTCCAAACAAGAATTCCCATTCACTTATCTTGGGTGTCCGATATTTTATGCTAGGAGAAGAATGGATTATTTCCAAGGTTTCATTACTAAGCTGATGGATAAGTTACAAGCTTGGAAGGGTAAGTTGTTGTCCATAGAGGGAGGGTTATTTTGATTTCTCACGTTCTTCAAAGTATGCCAATTCACCTTCTATCTTCGGTGAATCCTCCCCCTTATGTGATTAATAGATTGCATAAGATTTTTGCTCAATTTTTTTGGAGTAATACTGTTGTTAGCACGAGTAGGCACTGGGCTTCTTGGACAAATCTATGCTTACCTTGTGATGAAGATTACATGATATTTCTAAAGCATTATTTTGCAAATTATGGTGGAACTTTAGAACTAAGCCTACTTTGTGGAGTTCTTTCATGAGCCAAAAGTATTGCAAAAAATTAATCTGATGGTCGTACCTTGGAGGAGGAATGGTTCACATGTTTGGAGGAGAATGCTAGAGTGTAGGGATATTATTGAACATCAAATCTTGTGGCATCCAAAAATATGCTCTTCTTTGTTTTGGTTTGAAAATTGGACAGGTTTGGGCGCCCTCTATTTTGTTACTCCACTATATATTTGTGTGTGACGACCATACAAAACGTATATGATGTAGTGATAGATGGGCAGTGGGATGAAGAGAAGATCAGGGAAATATTGCCGAAGTAATTAGCATTACATATTCTACATAACATCAAACCACCAGGAGTGCAAGATGTATTAGACAAGCCAGTTTGGATGCTCGAAACCAATGGAGAATTCAGTGTGAAATCAGCTTGGGAGTATCTTAGAAGAAGAAAGGATCCTTGCAATTCATATAGGATGACGTGGGGAAAGGGAGTGCCATTTAAAATATCTTTTTTCATGTGGAAACTATGGAGAAACAAGCTGCCTCTTGATGACTTTTTTAGAAGGCCAGGATATCAAATGGCATCAAAATGTTGGTGTTGTGCTAATCCGATGGAGGAAACCACACAACATTTGTTCTTCACTTCTTATGCTGCCAAAATAGTGTGGTCGTACTTTTTAAATCATGTAGGAATAGTTGTGGAGGGAATTACATTTCATCAGGTAGTGGTGAAGTGTTGGACTGCCAAAGTCATTCCTATAAATATGGAGACACTGTTAGTCGAGTAATATATCAGATCTCCTCGAATCCCTGATCAAATTCAGAAAGCCTGGGCTTACTCATGTTCCTCATAAATGTCCAGATCAACTTGAGTTGTTGGAGAACTATACGCCTAAGCAGAAGATCACTAAGGTAATATGGGAATGTCCTAGTCCAGGGTGGGTAAAAGTGAACACAGATGGGGCTTCTAGAGGTAATTCTGGGAGGAGTTCTATTGGTTTTGTTATTAGGAATGAAAAGGCAGATGTATTGTATGCATGTGGCAAGGAAGTGCAGGAGAGAACTAATTCTGAAGCTGAGGCAATGGCTATACTCGAAGCACTAAGATACTGTATCCAGCATGATTTCATTCTTATTGAATTGCACACAGATTCAATGTTAATAAAAAATGTTGTGAATGGAGAGTGGTCTATCCCTTGGTATGTGGCTGAATATGTAGGGAAAATCAAAGAACTCATGGCTCGATGCAATGTAAATGTGGCTCATACGCTAAGAGAGGGAAATAGTTTGGCAGACCATCTAGCTTATTATGCTTTGGATGTTGGATATATTGAGGCACACTGTTTTTGGGAGCTAGATGCACATGGGAGGAGGATAGTGAACAATGACAAACTACAATGCCATATATAAGGACAAGAGTTGCAAGAAATTAGGAGATGAGGAGGTAACAAGGTGCATTACCAGGCTGGAAATGGGAGTGAGCAAGATGGGAATTAAAAGCAGGAGAGGATCGCATATTGACTGCTGTGATCGAATCCTAAGGGAGGAGGTCATAGTACTCTGGTTTTTGACTAACATCGTGTTCTTTTTTGCAGGAAAAGTTTCTGTCACCATGCCTCATCAAGTGACTAAACTTCAATGGGTGGTATTAGCACTATGTGCTCATTCCCAGTGTTAGAAATATGCTTTAGAAGCTGCTCTCAGTAAAATTATTTTACTGTTTCAGCTATTTACTGCAGTAATTTAGTTTGAATTTGAAATAATTTTGAACTAGTCTTTAGGAGTGAACTAGTCTCTAGGAGTTAGTTATTTTCAGCATATTTTTTGCGGATTTTTAGGTCTTTTAAGTTAGTATTTCTCTTATAAATTGTAGTCCAAATGCATTAAAATAATATAGTATTTTCAGCTTCAGTTCCTTTTACATCTATTCCAGTATATTTTTTATTTTCTTGTCATCTTCCCAGTTATTTCCCTTAATTTCTTTTATCAAGAACCAACAATTGGTATCAAGAGCCATCTTCTTAAGGGACCTAAGTAAAATCTTTTCTTGAGTGAGATGGAGACTGAAATGAGTTTTTCTCAAATGGCTCCTCCAGTCTTTGATGGTGAAAATTACCAACTGTGGGCAGTGAGAATGGAGACTTACTTGGAGGCTTTAGATCTTTGGGAGGCTGTGGAAGAGGATTATGATGTCTTCGCTGCTACAATCCACGGTGCCCAGATCAAGAGTCACAGGAAAGAAACCTGGAAATCAAAGGCAAAGGCAACTTGTTGCTAGTGTGTCTGCAACAATTTTCACGAGAGTTATGGCTCTCAAATCAGCAAAAGAAATCTGGGATTATCTGAAGGGAGAATATACAAGAGATGAAAGAATACGAGGCATGAAGGTGTTGAATTTAATAAGGGAATTCGAGTTGCAGAAAATGAAGGAATCTGAGACTGTCAAAGAATACTCGGATCGGTTGCTTGGCATTGTTAACAAGGTAAGATTGCTTGGTACTAAATTTAAAGATTCAAGAATTATTGAAGAAATTCTTGTTACGGTGCCTGAAAAATATGAAGTATCTATAACTACCTTGGAAAATACAAAGGATCTATTCAATATTACCTTGGCAGAATTATTAAATACATTGCAGGCACAAGAGCAAAGGAGGCTTATGAGGCAAGATGGTATGGTTGAAGGAGCCCTGGCAGCCAACCACAAAACTCAAAGCAAAGGTAATAATGTTAAAAAAAATTACTCGCCTTGTCAGCACTGTAGAAAAAAGGTCATCCACCATTCAAATGTTGGAAGAGGCCAGATGCAAAGTGCAAAATTTACAACCAACTTGGTCATGAAGCTGTAATTTGCAAAGGCAAATATCAAAAGCATGAAGCAGATGCCCAAGTCGCCAATGAAGAAGAAGAAGATCACTTGTTTGTGGCAACTATTCTTTCAACAAAAAAATCTGATTTTTGGTTGATTGACAGTGGTTGTACAAACCACATGACATATGACAGAAATCTTTTCAAAGAGTTCACGTCTATAGGAAATAAGAAAGTCAGAATTAGAAATGGTGATTATATTCTTGCTAAAGGAAAAGGAACTGTTGCAATCCCAACAAATTCAGGTACTAAGAAAGTTTCAGATGTTCTTTATGTTCCTGATATTGATCAAAATTTAATAAGAGTTGGACAACTAATGGAAAAAGGATTTAAAGTATCATTTGAAGATAAATATTGTTTCATTTATGATGCAACTGGACTTGAGATTTTAAGGGTTAAAATGAGAGGTAAAAATTTCTCATTTGATCCAACCGAAGATGAGGAATGGAGCCAAAAGAATCTACTAAGTGCAGGTAATTCTCCAACTAAGGACATATGTGAAAATAAGGTAAGGAAGAAGTTGTCAATATTTTAGAAAATGCAATTCTGGAAGAAAGTTGACAAGTCTC